CATAATCTCTCATACCCAAAAATATCATGTCCTTTCTGGTAAGTAGTTTCGGGAGGTAATTCTCGAAGTTCTACTGAGACGTAATGAACAGTAGAGTTCAGTTATATTGGGCCTGCAAAAATGTCACTGATAATAATAGACGATGGTTGTGCAATATCTTTAAGTTAGGGATGTACACCTAGTGATAATCGATGCACACTATAGGATCCACGGATGACGAAAAGAGGTGGATAGAAAATACACTCACATTATAACATTTGGCAATCTTGACAACAACCATCGACATATCATACAGACGACACAGCAAACAAAGTAAAAGCACCATCAAGTAAAAAAAAACATCGAGATCAACATGTTGAAGCAACCACCAACAAACATTGAATACTTACTCTAAAAAGTATTAAACGAAAGTACAAGTAACGCCTCAAAACTAGAATTCTTTCGGCGCACTAGAGTCATTATTCAAAGCTGCCGGAATAAGTGAAGAAAATCAACAGTAAATGGGACAAATCATAGTAGTGCTAATTTGACAGAAGATAGACAACACCCAACTGACCTCACAAGAACAAAAAGCCTCAAAGAAACTCAGAACTAAGGACAGAGGGCACACCACAGGGATTATGGACAAGAAAGAATGTATCAGAAAAGCGAGCGAACTACATGAGGATAAAAGCGTATGCAAACCAATGGACACAAATCCGGTTAAAAGGTTAGACAACCAAATCGTAAGGACTTTAACCAATCTTGTCAAAGCAGGACAAATATCAGCACAAGATCAACGGAAAGTGAGATCCACTGGATCAGTACTCCCTCGGTTCTACAATAGGCTGGAAATACACAAACCGAACATCCTACTACGTCCGATTGTAGTACTCCCGGAACCCCAAAATACAATTTGTTGAGGGAAATTTCACGAATATTGAAATATTTAGTAGACTCACCCAATCACTCGATCAAATCTCCCATACAATTCCTAGTTACCGTTAAAGACACTCGAATAAACAATGACAAAATGATGATATCATTCGATATATCAGCCTTACTCACCACAACTGAACCAAGCTTAGCAAAGGGAACTCTATCCGTGCTTCTCACCAACGACACAAATCTCACAAAGTACACGAAGCTTCTTAGTCAAAGTCAAGTAGAACTCACTGATTTATGCTTAACAACATATTTTCAATTCAACAAAACAATGTACGAACAAACGAAAGGGACGCCGATGGTATCACCAACATCAGGACTTATTGAAGACGCAGTAATGCAGAGACTGGAAGCCTCGATCTTGCCGACGATCAAGCTAAAAATTTGGACTCGTTATGTGGGCGACACATTCGTCATCAAAAAGAACGAACTGGAAAACACCTACAATCCGATCAACAACGTCTTCGATGGCAATCGAACAGGAGTCAAACAACAAACTATAATTCTTGAATGCGCTGGTCACCGGGACCGACATAGGAAAACTGGAAACCCAAGTATATCGGAAACCGAACTACACAGACTATTTTCTCATTTACAGTAGCAACAACCCAAGAACTCACAAAATCAACTACGCACAAATTTTATTCAAGAGGGCGAGGACGCACTGCAACACACTTGCAGAGAAGAATGATGAAAAAAGTCTCTAAAGACTGTCTTTCAAAGGAACGACTACCCAATGAACTTTACCAAAACATATCAACCAAACGCATCAGAAACCAATAAATGTATCATCCCTGCATATATAAACGGCATATCAGAAATTACAGTCAGATTTTTGAAGCCTTTCGGAATAGGTGTAGCACACAGGCCAATAAAATCACTTCAAAAAATCATATACAAACCAAAGGACGAAATTACAAAAGAAAAACCGAACGTCATCTACAAAATAATATTTTCCAACTTATGATATGTCCTCGTCTATATCAATACATGTGAACAGCCATGGATGCACATTCAACCAGGAAAATATTGAGATCTTGGATTGAAACAATTCTCAAAACACCAGAAAATTTTTAGAAACTTGGCACTTTGATTAATCAGCAATCAACAAACGCATTGAAATCGACCCAATGCATCAACCAATCAGAAAAAATCATAGACAAATATAGGACCAATAATCAAATTATTGGGAGATACAATCAAAATAAAGAAGTAAACAATGACAGGTCAAAGGTCAACAATAACCAATCAAGAGTGAGATCTACAGGAAAAGCTGTGAGTTATGTATGAAGAAATCTGAACATTTCGCTTTTACCTGAAGTTTGTACTGATGATGACGTTCAGAGGAACGATAAAGGCTTCACAACCAAATCGTCCAGCTCAGAGAAAAAAACTCTATCAAAGTTAGGAATGTAATTTGTTGAATGTCCCAAGTTAATAATATGACAGTTAAGCGGTTGCCACAAACCATTAGTACTCTGGATTCAAACTCCGGTTTTGCCGTAGATAAAGGTTGTTGAGAAGATCCACACTAAGATGAACCATTTATTTAATACTTCCTGTTTTTTTATCGTTATATAATTATAATTATCTTGTGTTGTGAAACTACTAAGCTCATCAAATTTTCACAGCACTCTCTCCATAATAATAATAAATATATATAAATTGTCGTAATTTATTTATCGTTTACAATTTCCTGAGGAATAAAACTTAATTATCTGTCATTTTCCATTGTTTATATTTAATCTGATAAACGATTGTAGATCATTTGTCATGAAGAAAAATAAGTATTCAATAGGTGTTATGATTTTCTATGTATATTCTCATCCTCTCAATCAGAAATATTCAATCGATTTATGCGAATAATATGCTAACTATAATTTGTATATAACAACATATCAGATATATATATATATATATATATATATATATATATATATATATATATATATATATATATAGAGAGAGAGAGAGAGAGAGAGAAAGTTTCATTCTTTTTCGCTCCTCTTCACTAAATATGGACTTGTGACAAACAGTACATATTGAAATGTTAAACTGTTCAAAATTAGGGAAGCACACATGTTTAGTTTATCTTGCATATCGTTTGTGGTTCAGTTGATAGTCATTTTTGATAAGACCTACTTAAAATTCGATAACCAAGAATTACTTTGTTATAAAATTATTGTAGTTTGTATTCGTCTCAAATAGGTATTAATTAGGGATACCCCATTATAGATAAAAACAATAATGTCCAGGCCCCACAATTAGGGCTCGACCAATAGATCACTGGGTTGAAATTCAGTAGCATACATTTCCTAATTCACTCAATTTTTGATATCGTACAATGGTCTTTTAATGTGATTGATGACTTCTGTTTCGTTTCCAATCTATCTGAACTCTATTTCTCAACTAAGATCAATCTGCGACGAGTATCGCTTAAGAATTAAATCAATATCCATGAAACCCATTCATTTATGATCTATTCAATTGACCAGCCAATAATCCTGCATACATAAATGTTAAACAAAAATGTATATTTCATCATTAATTTGTGAACAAATTACTCAGAAAAGGCTGACTATCAAAAACGATTGTTTATGTGCTTCGATGAGACTTTGATGATATTCATATATAATATACGTTGCAGATATAGGTTGTGTCGTGTATTATACATGGAATATTCAATTTTAAACGTGTAATCATATTAAGAAAACTCTCAATTATAGTGTTGTGCATACTTTTGATTATTTTCATCTAGTATCAGTTCTATCTTTAGATAAATCACTTAAGCATATTAAGGATTATTATCTGATTATTTTGTTATATGATCCTAACATGATAAATGTATTTTCTGTTGTCAAATTTCTAAATTATCAACGACTATAAAGAAATTGTCACATTGTTTTCATATTAGAAACGAAAATAAAACAATCAGACAAAACATAAGACAGTGATGGATATGTCACTGAATTTGGTCGATTAGTTGAAATTATACATTAATGTCAACGGATGCCGGCCATCCCATTGGTCAAGTGGTTAAGCGCTCGCGCGCGAGACACATAGGTCCTGGGTTCGAATCCCTCGAGGCGGGATCGTGGATGCTCACTGCCAAGGAACTTCATATTGGAACGAAACGGCCATCCAGTGCTTACAGGTTTTCCATGGTGGTCTAGCTTCTATTGACTCATGATCTCAACCATTGAAAAACACAACTGATTTTTTTTAATATTCCAATGATGACCTCCAATTGTTATAAAAATGATGGACAGTAGTTGGAACTAGGTCAAATAAGCAAACAAACAAACAAACTTCATCACCGATTTACCATGGAAATAATTGAGTTTTCTACCATACGAAGATAATATATAAAAAATTTTCTAATACAAACAAAAAATGACCGATAATAGAGTATGTTAAAATAATGACAAAAGGCAATTGATTGATAAAATGATTGTTCTGATTATTAGAGTAGAAAAAAAAAACAGTAAAGGCAAATATAATTTAAGATTTTGATCTATAAATTATGAAGTTCATTCTTATTTTACGAGTCAGTATACGATTGTAAGTTTTTTGCTTACCAATCATTGATTTCTATGTGATTTTCTCAAAATCCTAATAAGAGGTTGACGACATACCAATTCGTATTAGGTGATAGACTGATTACTAACTAAGAAATAACCAAATTACTAAACTATACCAAATTGACTGTGAAAACAAAATATTCTGGATGAAATCGCTTATAAAATTATGAGTACGTGTTATTGAATAGTATTAGAAGAAAATAGAACAACTATTGAGAGCTGCCCTAGTTTTCAGTAATCCTTCAACTGATATCACTGTGTTAAAATGAATCTTACAATTATATAATTTTTTTAATGAGATAATGAACCGATTGATGTTAGACCACCTTTGAAAACCTGGAAGCACTGGACGGCCATTTTAACCTATTGTGAGACTCCTCAGCAGACCACTGAGCTGGTCGGCATCCAACGGTGTTGATGTCTAACCTCAATCAATCCTGTTGGGATATTCAGAAAAATATCCCAAAAACAATTATCCGGTTAAGTCTAATGCTACCCTTGAACGTTAAATGGTGTCATTTTCCTATTGGACGTTTCCCTACTAATCAATATTTATTTCGCGTGTCATTTCCCCATTGGTCAATATTATTTCACGTGTTATCTTTCTGTTGGTCAATATTTATAGTAATCCTAACTGTATAAATATGCATTTGTTTGTAAATCATGATTCGGCTTCTGACCCCATAAACAATTTTTCATCTACGGTTCGTGTTCTGATATATTGGAGATTGGGAATAGTATTGGGGTCAAACTGGGATATCTGAAGCTAGTCAATCGGTAGAAATTAGAGTAGTCACCTCGCGATACACAATAATTTGGCGACGGAGATTCAGCAAAGAATTTGGTGATTAACCATGGATCCAGCCAAACTAGAAAAATTGTTCGAACAGCAGTTGAAGCTGATGGAGATGATTGCTCACACGCACATATCTTCTCGAGTTCCAACTACACCGACAATTCCTGAATCAGTTGATGGTATTACCAGTGGTATTTCAGAATTCCTTTATGATCCTGATGCCAACATTACATTTGATACCTGGTTCAGACGCTATGAAGACCTTTTCAAAGTTGACTTTGCTGACAGAGATGATGCGTGGAAGGTGCGTCTCCTGCTTCGTAAACTTGGTCCATCCGAGCTGGATAAGTATTGCAACTTTATTCTACCGCAGAACCCACGTGACCGTTCGTTCGACGCCACTATTCAGTCCCTTAGCCAACTTTTTGGTGATCATCACTCACTCTTCAGTACTCGATATCGCTGCTTAAAACTGATCATGAATGAGTCCGATGACTTCCTGACCCACGTCGGCGTTGTTAACCGTGAGTGCGAACGATTCAAGCTCAGATCCCTCACTGAAGACCAATTCAAGTCCCTAATACTCATATGCAGTCTTCAGTCACCCAAATTCTCCGACATCAGAACTCGTTTGCTTAACCGCCTTGAACAAGATCCAACACTGACACTTAATGCGATCATAGACGAGTACCAGCGCATCATCAATCTGCAGCGTGACACCACTTTGGTTCAATCTGGTGGCCAGGGTGGTTCCGAAGTTCATGCTGTTCAGCACCAAAGAAAATCTTCGAGATCGACGACCTCGAGTCTTTCGAATGCCAGCGCTGTTTCTGTCTCTAATCGCTCTAAACCGGCTCAGAAGAAGCCCCCCTCTCCATGTTGGCACTGTGGAGCCTGGCATTATGTGCAGTTTTGTCCATTCAAACAGCATGTGTGCGATCGCTGTCAGAAAGTTGGTCACAAAAGCGGCTTTTGCAAATCCAACCGATCCAATAACCGTCGAAATGCACAGACGCAGCGTCGTTTTCACAAAAAGCCGATCACCTCATCAAGGAGTTTAGCAGCAGTCTTCCATACTCATGCCGCGACTCGACGCAAATTTCTGACCCTCTCAATCAATGGTCAGCCAGTTCGTTTGCAGTTGGACACTGCATCAGATATCACCATTCTGTCGAAAAAGACTTGGCGAACCTTGGGTCAACCTCCCATCAAACCATCCTCTCAGACAGCCGTCAGTGCCTGTGGGGGTCATCTCCGCCTTCATGGTGAACTTTGTTGCTGCATTTCATTCAGAGGTACAACCTTCAATAGGACATGCTACATCACCAATTCTCCGCTCAACCTTTTAGGTTTAGATTGGTTCGAAGAACTTGGTCTCGCTGATCTTCCTATTAACGCTATCTGCAATCAAGTTCAAACTACTGCATCGACACAACAGCATGCTGAAGACCTTCGAAAACGATTTATTGAACTATTTCAGCCTGGTCTCGGACTTTGTACCACAACTGAAGCTGTTTTAAGACTGCAGCCAGAAGCTACGCCAGTTTTTCGCCCAAAGCGTCCAGTCCCATACGCATCTTTACCTCTGGTTGACGCTGAACTTCAACGTTTAGAAACTGAGGGTGTTCTGGTACCTGTTTCTTATTCATCTTGGGCTGCACCAATTGTGGTTGTAAAAAAATCTAATGGTTCCATACGCATCTGTGCAGACTTTTCCACAGGACTCAACGCGGCTCTACAACAGCATCACTATCCGCTGCCGATCCCAGATGACTTATTTACTATTTTAAATGGTGGTACCTATTTCGCTAAGCTGGATCTGGCAGATGCTTACCTTCAAATTCCAGTCGCTCTAGAATTCAGAGAGTTGTTGACAATCAACACTCACCGAGGACTTTTTCAGTATACCCGGTTACCCTTTGGTATCAAAACTGCTCCGGCGATCTTCCAGCAGATCATGGACACTATTCTAGCAGATGTTCCTGGTGTTGTTACGTACCTTGACGATGTCCTCATTGTCGGCGCAACTGCTGATGAATTGAATACCAGAACTCACTTAGTTCTGCAACGCCTCCAGGATAATGGTTTTCGCCTTCGCCCAGAAAAATGCCATTTCTTCTTACGTTTCGTTAAGTACCTGGGGTTTATCTTTGATGCTTCCGGACGACATCCTGATCCTCAAAATACTTACGCAATCCAACAAATGCCTGCTCCCACTGATGTCTCCTCACTGCGATCATTTTTGGGAATGATTAGCTACTATTCAGCATTTCTTCCATCACTGCATGACGTACGATATCCACTGAATCGTCTGCTAGAAAAGAATGCTACTTGGAATTGGTCAACGCAATGTGAGTCAGCCTTTTCAAAACTTAAAGCCATGTTAAGTTCCAATCTTCTGCTAACCCACTACAATCCGAAACTACCCATTGTGGTTGCTGCTGACGCTTCAACACATGGACTGGGTGCCGTACTCTCACATGTCTTTCCCGATGGGTCAGAGAAAGCGGTGATGCATGCTTCGAGAACACTAACACCTGCTGAAAAACGCTACGGTCAGATAGAGAAGGAAGCGTTAGCCCTAATTTTTGCTGTCCGGCGATTCCACAAATTCATTTACGGACGCCGTTTCACCTTGCTCACAGACCACAAGCCCTTGTTATCAATCTTTGGATCAAAGAAAGGCATTCCTGCCCATTCTGCTAATCGTCTTCAACGTTGGGCGTTGGCGTTATTGGGGTACGACTTCGACATCCAGTATCGACGTTCGGAAGATTTTGGTCAAGCGGATGCACTGTCCAGACTTATCAGTAACCATTCTACTACTGATGAGGACACACTCATAGCCATAGTATCAACCGAAGAGGATTCCGGTGCTACAGTATTAGCGAATGCCATTCGAGCAATGCCTGTTACCGCTGAAGATGTTCGGGAAGCTACCAGAGAGGACCCGATTATCCAAAAAGCGATCACCTATGTTCAGAGTAGATGGCCAGTTAAGCAGCTGAGTGGTGATATGCAACAGCTAGCGAATCGTCGCAGTGCTCTCTGTATTGTTAACGATTGTCTGATGTTCGGTGATCGCGTAGTAATTCCAACAACCCTACGTTCCAAGATCCTACACCAATTCCACTCTGGACACCCAGGGATAAACCGTATGAAATCCATCGCTCGCAGTTATGCATATTGGCCGAATATGGACAAGCAGATTGTCGACTTCGTCAAAAGATGCTCGCATTGTCAAAAAGCTGCGAAAAATCCTCCTAAGTTGCCTCCAGTACCCTGGCCAAAGTCAGAAAAACCCTGGTCGCGAGTGCATATTGACTTCATCGGACCCCTAGATGGTACCACATATCTGATACTGGTTGACTCCTACTCCAAATGGCCGGAGATATTGCCAATTGCGCCACCATCTACAACTCGAACTATCAAACTCCTTAATCGGATCTTCGCTCAGCATGGTCTTCCAGAAACAATAGTAACAGACAATGGTTCGCAATTCACATCTAGCCAATTCCGAGAATTTTGCCTGCAAAACTCGATAAACCATGTCCGTTCTCCGCCATATCACCCGCAATCTAATGGACAAGCTGAAAGGTTCGTTGATACGTTTAAGCGAGCTATGCTTAAATCACGAGGGGAGGGGACCACAGAAGATATCATAGAACGATTCCTAGTTGCGTACCGGACGACCCCGCATGACTTATTGCCAAACTCCAAATCCCCTGCTGAGATGCTTATGGGGCGAAAGCTACGGACAGTTCATTGTGCGATGAAACCTAAGCAAGTGGCGCAACAAAAACCCCAGATGAAGAATACTCGAATTCCCTACGAAGTTGGTACAAAAGTGTACGCGCGAGACTATAGACACGGATGTGATAGATGGGTAGAGGGTGAAATCACAAAGAAACATGGGGACGTCATGTATGATGTCAAAGTGAACCAAGAAATCTGGACCAGGCACCACAATCAAGTCAGGCCAAGGGAAGCGAAGGAGAAAGAAACAATTACAAAAAGCGTTCCACTCGACTTGCTGTTGGACACGTTTCAACTTCCGCCAATACCTCCAACAGAGACGACTAAGTCATCTACTCAAGTAGAACATCCTTCTGGTTCTGTGTGGTTGCCTCGGAGGTCGGATCGCAAAAGAAGACACCCAAAGAAACTTCAAGTAAATCCTCGATTACGTCGCTATTAACTTTTCCAAGGGGAGGTGTTGGGATATTCAGAAAAATATCCCAAAAACAATTATCCGGTTAAGTCTAATGCTACCCTTGAACGTTAAATGGTGTCATTTTCCTATTGGACGTTTCCCTACTAATCAATATTTATTTCGCGTGTCATTTCCCCATTGGTCAATATTATTTCACGTGTTATCTTTCTGTTGGTCAATATTTATAGTAATCCTAACTGTATAAATATGCATTTGTTTGTAAATCATGATTCGGCTTCTGACCCCATAAACAATTTTTCATCTACGGTTCGTGTTCTGATATATTGGAGATTGGGAATAGTATTGGGGTCAAACTGGGATATCTGAAGCTAGTCAATCGGTAGAAATTAGAGTAGTCACCTCGCGATACACAATAAATCCGCTAATCCGTTTAGGGTAGAGACAGGTATCTACCTCAGACAATGGAAGATGGTAGCGCGATTTCAAGGATTGGTTGAGGTTAGACATTGACACTGTTGGATTCCTGCTTAGTTGTCTGGAGGTTAAGCATTCGCGCAAGAGATTGAAGGTTCTGGGTTCGAATCCCGGAGCGGGATCGTGCATTCACACTGCTGAGGAGTCCCACAATAGGATGAAATGGCTGTCCTGTGCTTCCAGGTTTTCAAAGGTGGTTTAACATCAATCGGTTCATAATCTAAATCAAAAACTTAATAATTTCCACAACCCTATACTGATAATTTTACAATTCACTACAAACCATCTAACTAGATTTATCTATATTCTTTGAAATAATTTATAACGATTACTTTTCTAGTAAACATGAACGAACAGTGGGATAAGAAGTAAATTGGTATCAAAAAGAAACCCAAACTTCTCAAAGTTTTCAGGAAAAAAATGTTGACTTTTTCAATATTTTTGCTTTTCACTTTCACATTTGAAATCAGAAATTGATCAACAGTCATTTTCTTTGACTTGATTGAAGCAGAAATTTATCTAATAATGATGCTAGTTCCATTCTTATCAACTTATTATCGATTTGCCGTGTATGGACTCTTCTTATTCTAATCTTGGAATAATTATCTATTATTAGATGAACAAATATTGATTCGATTTACATATATATGAAAGCTTGTTTGTTTTTTAGCTATTTCCTTTTATTAAAACCGATGTGAGTGTGAGTGTGTGTACTTGCATGTGTATATGTAGGGATTAAAGTAAGAAGATGAAAGCATTAGTTGGTGTATCCTTTGTAATATTGTAAAATAAGCAAATGAAAAGAAATTAGAAAATTAAGAGATGGAAGAACAGGAAATTTTGTCCTACCTAGAACTCGTCATCTGGATGTACTTGGATTCCAATGTTGGTTTTCACATTGTGACTTTAACTCAAAACCTTTTGTCTCAAACATCGACGGGTTTTCTCCAAACTCTTGTCATTGAAATTGGTTAATCACATCGATTTAGTCTTGAATATTACAAATTACTAACAAAATAGAATGATATCATTGATAAGAATAAACAAAGGTCATAGATAAAGGATGATAAAAAATTATGGGCCTTAATTAAGGTGATGAATTCTAACCATAAGTTAAAGTCGTATGTAAAAACAGGAATTGTTGTTGCGTAGTTGTTGTGACGACATTAATTGTAATTTATATCAAAGGCTATTAACTTAGTGAGTTTCCATGTATGTGGTCTAAAGTGTATCGATTACTGATTAAAACTGTAATCGCAGTCAAAACCTTTGTGCTTTGTGGCGCGTACTTAACATTTAGGTCATTGAGTTGAAATTTACTGGTTTACGTTTCCGATTTCGATCAATAAACGATTTATCATGGTTGTCATCTATGTTACCTATCTCATTCCTGATATGGCTGATCTGCATTGGTCATGACTTTACAAAATAAAATCATTCTAGTTCATATTTTTCTCGGCCTATGATGTGTGCTACTGATGTCGACAGATATAAGTAGTATGTATCATCAATCGAAAGTGAAATACCTGGAGGCAGAAAGTTAAGATCAAAGAAAAGAGAACGAGAATATAGAATGATTGGTGTAGCAACGAAGAAACAATGAAGTCTGATTGACATTTTACAAATGAAGCATTTACTGTATGGTTCTCAGATTTTACTAAGCTGTTCTGTAAATTTGTATTCACTTACATTGGATTGTCCCCACTTGTGTTCTCGTTCACTACAGGCCTGCTTTTTTATTTGACTCACCTACACTTATTTTTCCCTCTATTCTTTCATTAAAGTCAAAAATGTTATTGTGACGAAATAAATTTTCAGTTAGGTCTTAAAATATACTTTATTTGCTTTCGAGCATATAATTTCTGATAAGCTTCTGAAGTTCCAAATCATGGACTCATTTTGAATAAATAACCATTCAAAACCATGATGCACTCAATAGGCATTTCGTCCAAGTATAGGACTCCTCATCAGTGCATAGTCAACATATTCGCTTATGATATATATAGACCTACTCAATCAAATGGTTATTGAGACTTATTGTATCTGATGTAAGCATATGAACTGAAACAAACTTCAAAATATCATAAAACAACAGTTCGATAAATACTTTATAATTCATTAATAAAGTATTTTGTTTTATATGCCACTTTTTTAACAAACAATGTTTTCTGTATCACAAATAAAATTGATCTTAAAAAATTTACGAAATTGTTGTTTTCTTCAATGAACCCAATGAGTGTTACGGATTAATGGATTTGATGATATAAAACAGGTTTTGATTTGCTTATAAGCAATGTGAATGATTGATAATTTCTCAGGAGATCGAAATAACTACTCAAATCTCCATTCTACATACTCATTAGAATTAACAGAGATTATAGGCCACTAACTAAGGGACTAGATTGTTTTCTTATAGGAAATGACATAAATAATTACATACAAAAATAAACAAAAGTAGATATCTTAGACGGTTGTACAACATAAAATATTTTGATTATTCACATGGCAACAAAATTAGAATCTTATGGTTAAGCTTAATTCCTTACACATTACATCAGTTGAACAATTTATAAATTAAAATTTCATTGATTTTTTCAATAGACTTGACAATAATGTAATTTGTGGTTTGTTAATATTCCTAAGATTTTCCTAAAGAATTCATACCGACTTTACAAAATCTAAGAAACCTCAGAAAAAATCCATACTCATTGGTCACAAACAGCGCATTAATCTTATTTAAAGTTATTCAAAATGGCATTCTCATTAAGAACTAAGATGAGCTATTTCAGCTCAAGTTAAAGAATCTGCTACGTATAATAAAAAACATTTATCACTTTTATGAGATTGAGGTAATCCTAAAAAACACCCAGAAAAATATGTATAGTTTTTATATGATCTATAAAGTTTTCTAGCATCACAACTGATTCCTATGTTTTGAAATCAAAGTATGTTTGTTTTTATGGCTGATAATTATTTTTCATCACGAAAATCTATAAGCTGTTTTTACAGTTTCTCATCTATTCTTGGATACTATCCACCTTATTTTGTTGAATTCTGGCAACATGATGTATGATATATTATTTCTATAAAACCAGTTTATCATGATGTTCTGTTACCAGAAGGGGTTTGTGGAGATTTTAGAAATTTCACAGAGTGAAATCATCCCGCGGGGGGCGGGATCGTGGATGCGCACTGCTGAGGAGTCCCATACTAGGACGAAACGGCCGTCCAAAGCTTTCAGGTTTTCTGTGGTAGTCTAGTTTCAATATGCTCATTGTTTCAATCTGTGAAATATCCTGTTACCTTGAGACACCGGTAAACTTTTCATTCATTACTTTACACGTTGGCCTCTAAATGAACATACTTTCTAATTATTGAAAGAAGTATCAAAGATTCCCATCGTGAAACTTAGAACTATATATATCACGTTGTTTTACAATTCCGATTATGCTGAGTAGTTTATTTATTTGAAGGCTGGAATGATTGCTTATCCTACACTTCAGGGATATATTTCATAAATATATTTTTAATGGAATTACAAGATTTTAGTAAACATGCAAACAGACAGGTCAAAGTTGATGTATTTAATATCTTCAAATAATAAACATTATTTTGTATATACTAAAAAAATACTAAAAATGAAAGGGCAGTTGAAGCATACTTTGTGATGGTTCATGGAACCTTTTCACTGATGAATACTAACAGTTTCACGCTTAATTGAATCTATGAATTTTAGATTTAGAGATAAATGAAACATCATTCAATCACTGAATTTATGTATAACGATTGATATTTTCAAATTATTGTCAACTGATGATATTAACTTATCTATTATAAACAGAGTGGCTAGACCACCATGGAAAACCTGGAAGCACTGGACGGCTGTTTCGTCGTAGCATGAGATTCCTCAGCAGTGAGCATCCACGATCCCGCCTTGTGAGATTCCGACTCAGGACCTATAGGTCTTGTGTTGAAGAGCTTAACCACTAGACCACTGAGATGGCCGGCATCCAATGGTGTTAATATCTAACCTCAACCAATTCGCGGAGTTGGAGGGAGAATTGTTTTTAAAACTAGTTAACAATTAGTGTACTGCTGAAATATTCGGTAATGATCAGTATATTAATGTAATCATGAAATGAATCCATTGATGCTTATAATGAAATATTATTTAACTAACAATTAATAGTGTAAGATGCTTTAAAATCATCCTGTTATTCTTATTACAAAATTCATATTTCCTCACTTTATATCTAGTGATTAATATAACTAAAAATTCACATTATGATAAATCAGTCATGATGTTATTAACTATTAATAATCTTCCATCAAAACTATAACAATATTATCAAACATTTGAACAATAATCTATTCAGAATATAGACATTATTGAATTAAAGATTTGTTTAAACTGGTGAATAAAAAAGTTAGTTTGTTTAGTAAATAACATTCTCTTGGAGGACTATTGACAAACCAAATGATACTAATAAACTAGGACGTCATTCTTTATCTTAGGGCTTTATTATACTATTCGCTTGATTATTCACACTGAATTAAATTTCTCGTCGAATAGATTCTGATAAAAACTTCAATGTTGTTGAGTTGCAAAATATATTCTAGTAATAATATTTCTTCGTGGCATTAACTTCTATCTATTTATTTGGTAATCCAGTCTTAGCCATGTTGATAGATGCAGAAAACTTGGTTGGGGTCCATGTGACTGTTGTAACCAATGGTTGGAGACTCTTGGTGACGTGACTCATAATCGATCACGATGATGTAGGTGTATACATTCTTTGTCTTCCTTTAAACTATGAGATTAAAATCGCTTCATATCTTTCTTTCTGTACTATATCCTTATATGCAATCTTTCTTTTATAAATTACCATCATTAAATTAATTACTTCTATGAATTCGGTGCTAATGAAGTATGACAACTTGAACCGTTGCATATATGTACCTGATCCGACGTTGTAGCTGACTAACTGACTGACTGACTATTCAGTAAAGATGTTTAAAATTAG